TCTATTTTGGCTGCAGATACTTTTCTCTTTTTTAATTTTTAATTTAATTAAAAAAATTTTTTGGCTATAGGCATGTGTGCTTGCTGGGAGAGAGGGACAGAGGGGGAGAGAAAGATAGAGTGAGGAAGTGAGAAAGCACCACCCCTTCCCCTGGAGGATAGACACACCACGGTCTCTCCCCCATTTTTCTCGAGATTTTAGGCATGTGTGCACATGCACCCAGTGTAATTTTCAAGCCGTCTAATCCAGGGCTTGAACCACATAGTTAGCCATGTCAGAGTCCAGCTGCCTTAACCACCAGACCATCTACCTGACCCAGCTGCAGGTGCTTTTCTAGCTCCATTTGCCATCCTGAAGTTTCAGTGAAGAGTTGGTTATCCAGGGCATGGCAATACTGGACAGTCAGTGAGAAGGCAACTTCATATGGATGGCTCTCGGGCAGTAAGGGAGGATTTGGAGGGCACATTGGAGGTTTGCAGCCAGCAGCAGGTTCTCGAGGCAGTGGCAACGAGACAGCCTTTGAGTGGATTTTGTCACATTCAACCCAACAAGCACTCTGAAATCAGCTTGCCATTTCTAGCACTTTGGGATTTCAGTGCACAGTGCAGCGCATTTGTGTTTGAGCAACCAACTTCCTGTAGGAGGGAAAGGTGTTCTTTGAATTCTAACTGTTCCAGGGCTATGAAGACCCATCTTTATGTTATCATCTTGGTAATTCCAATGAGAGAGGAGTGGAGATGGGTGGGTGTACTTATTTGAAGTGATTTAAAAGGTTCTCTTTTCGATATTGCACCCCTTATTAGAATTCCCTTGCAGCTCCCCAATTAGCTGTTTTTTTAAAATTATTATTTATTTATTTATTTATTTATTTTACATGTGTTTTTGTCTTAGGCTTAGTCCACTGTTGTGTTGCTAAGAAATACCCGAGACTGAGTGACTCATCAAAGTAGAGATCAGGATCTCGAGCAGAGTCTCTGTCCATAAGTTCCTGCCTGTTCTGATCTCCTGTTCCCTCTTATAACTCAGTCACAGGGACTCTGCCCAAAGCCCTCCCCCACTCTGAGACATCATGAAGGGATTATGTTTTTACTGAACACCTTCATAATCAAGGTGCAACACATGAATTTGGGGGGACATCCAAACCATAGTAGATCAGATATTCCTTAAAAAGTGTCAATAAATACAGAACAGTATTTACTAGAGCAGATAAACTGAAATGATTTATTTAGGAAAAAAGCATTACCGTTGTGGTCCTACTTAGCCAGACTTGGAGTTAAATTGAAATTATTTAAAACTTATTTTAAAATGTTTCCCCGGGACCAGCAGGTGGTGTAATGGTTAAGGAACTGACTCACACATAGTCAACTATGGTTTGAGTCCCAGACCTGCTGGCTTAAAACTCATGCTGGGTGCATGTACATGAGCACCCCAAATCCCAAGAGGAGAATGGAGGAGAAGGAATTGCAACGTGACTATCCCCCTTGAGGGGGGTGATTTTTCACTTTCTGTCTCTCTGGTGATTGCCCATGCCTTATAGCAAAAATATCTCTCAAAAAGAAAAAAAATTTTTTCCAACTTTATTGAGATATGCTTGACGAATGAAAATGTGTATGTATTTAAGGTATACTTTTGTGATGGTAACTACTATTCTCATCGTGCTATTCTTTAGATTGTCCCCCTTGGGTAAAGGTGAAGGTCTGTGTAAAGAATTCTACTTTAATTGATTTAGACTTTAAATATGTGTATATAGTGATTTGCAGTAACCTAAGAATAATAAGCCGTTGGAGTCAAAAAAACACAAGATAGGATTCGTCCCTTCCCTTCTTTAACAGAAGAGGAAATGAAGGGGATGTAACTTGTCTAGGTCATGCCGGAAAATAAGAGCAGGTCCTAGACAAGAGTCAGCACCGATTTAATGCTTTTAAGTGCACTTTCTACCTTGTCTTTGTGACTCCTTGAATCTTTGAGTCTTCCGAATGCAGAAGCGAGGAAATGAAAGAGCATCTTTTCTTCCAATGTTAAATGTATAGAGGGAGATAGAACTTCGTGCATAAAGTCCTTTTGTAGGTAGTATATGCTGATTTCATTCTGACACGAATGGTTTCAAGGACTGATTGAAACTGGGCAATAGCTTGCATTTGACATGTTTTGTTTTTGACATTTAGGTTTCCCTAGGACATTAGTACAGGCTGAAGCCTTGGACAAAATCTGTGAACTGGATCTAGTGATCAGTTTGAACATTCCATTTGAAACACTTAAAGATCGTCTCAGCCGACGTTGGATTCACCCTCCCAGTGGAAGGGTATATAACCTGGACTTCAATCCACCTCATGTGCATGTAAGAATACATAAAGTACTTTCACAAAATGACAAGAAAAAGGCAAAAAATTTCAGTTGAAATGTGAAGGACATGAATAGGCTGTTCGATAAAAAAGAGCAAATTGACATGACCGGAAGTATTTTTGAAATGCCCAAATTTAGTAACTGTTAGGGAAGAGAATTTAAATAAAATTATGATATCACTTTAGTCCATTGGACTGGGCAAAACTGAAAAGATTGTATGTCTGTTGCTGATGAGGATCTTGCAAAAATGCTACTCTTATATTTGATAGATAAGATATTATAGTCTCTTTTAAAAGAGGCATGGTGGGACCTGTAGTTGGCGTAATGGCTGTGTCGCTGGACTCCCCTGTAGTTGACCATGGTTCAAGTGTTGGACCTGGTGGGTTAAACTCATGCTGGGCGTGTGTGCATGCATGCCCAAGATCCCGAGAGGAGAATGGAGGAGAAGAGATTGCAGCGTGGCCATCCCCCATGGGGGATGATTTCTTGTTTTCTTCCCTCTGTCTCTCTCTGTCCTTCTGGCAAGTGCACTCGCCCTATGGCAAAAACCTTTCCCAAAGAAAAAAAAGAAAAGAAAAGAGGCATGACAACAGAAATGAAAAGTTTTAAATAAATATTTCATTTCACCTACCTTTGGGAAAATAGCCCATGGAAATGAAAAACTAGCAGGTAAGGTCATGTAAACATGACGCATATTTCAATGTGGGTTATAGTGGCCAAAATATAAAACACAGAAAGAAAACAAAGACAGACAGAATGCTCATCTATGGGAGAGTGGTTAAATAAATTTGAGAACATTTACATCATCACAGAGTATAATTTAGTCACCAAAATAAATGAATTAGTATTATACCTTTTTTTTTTTAATTGCCAGTTGTGGCACATATACTCACCAGAGAGAAAGAGAGGGGGGAAAATGAGAAAGCACCCCCCCATGGGGATGGTCATACCACAATCCCTTCTCATCTGTTTCTTCTTTTGGGGTTTTTGAGCATGCACACACCCATGCCTGGTATGTTTCTCAAGCCGTTGGCTCTGGACTTGAACTGCCCTGTTGGCCATGTGTGATCCAGCCACCCCACCACTGTGCCATTGATTGGCCCAGTATTATACTTCTTGACATTGAGAAATTTTCTGAAGGTACTGTTAAATGAGAAAAGCAAATGACAGAATGATCCCATTTTTGTAAAACAGTGACTTCTCCTCTTGATGTCTATCACTTTGTGTGTGTGTGTGCGTGTATGTGTGTGTGTATCTGTGTTTTCTAGCTTTATAAGACCAGGGAGAAAGGCAGAAAGGAATATCTTGGGCTGGCAAAGACCCTGGGACTGGGATTAGGGAACAGGTCAGTGTTGATACACGTGGGGCAGTTGGAGAGTTTAAGGTGATTGGGGAAAATTACAGGAATAAAAAGATTGTCCTTAACAAGGGAGAGCAGGTGGCATGGTGGTTAAGGTGGCTGGATCTCACATGGCACACTGGGCAGTTCCAATCCCAGACTCTGCAGCTTGGGAAACACACTGGCTGTGTGTGTGTGCACAAAATCCTGAGAGGAGAATAAAGGAGAAGGAATTATGGTGTGGCCATCCCCCCGGGAGATGCTTTTTCACTTTCCCTCTCTCTGTCTCTTTCTAGGGAGCACATGTGCCCTATAGCAAGCTAAAAAAGAAAAGAAATTTTAAAAAAGAAGTTCAAAATAGAACTGATACAGTGACCTAAAATTAAACATGTAAAAGTATATATATAGAAATACTGCAACAGATTCACTTAAAGAGCTATTATTCTTTGTAAAGACGTTCTGATAAAGAGTATCTGATAAAAACAGATGGAACTGATGAATTAATTCTGTCTGGCTGTGCTTACCTCCAGTTATTGGGTGGTAGGTAGTTTTACGTGTTATTATCCAAATGTGGAAGAGATGATACCGTGTTTCACTGGGTTAATCCTTATGGATAAGGTTAGACTTTAGACTGTCGGTTAAATCCGTAGTTATTACGGAAAATTACCTTGAAGGGCTAAGGATGGCTTTCCCACTCCTTGGTACCACTGTGTGAGTGAAATCCCAAAGAGCCTTGTCTATGGTTTGGGCACCTTTTAGAGATGTTAATAGTTCTGTAATTCCTTTATTAGATCCCTCTCTCATAGCCATCCCCAAACGCTATAATAGAGGGGAAAAATGGATGAGGAAAAATCAAAGAATTTTGAAAACACAGATGGAAAGACTGAGGTCAACACCAGCGTTTCCCATTTTGGCTTTGTCCATACTTGCTGATGCAGATTCTCATAAACTTTGAAAAGATTTACCACTGAGTTTGCTTTCTAAAGACTGGGTTTCCCTAAAAGAACATCTATAATTACAATGCTACCCACACAGAGAGCACTGAAAGTGCTAACCTGGTCCACCCCACCAGCCACCATGGCCAAGCTCCCCAGGAAGGAGGGACGCAGTTGCTCCAGCATCATTCTGCTCTTTCCAGAAGCAGGGTTGTATTTGCTGTGCTCTGGAATCTGAAAATGACTTCTGAGCTTTGTGACTGTAAACAAAATAAAAGAAGAGGGGAGGAGAGGTGATGGATGTCCAGCCTTCTTCTATCCACCTCCCCCCCGCCCCCCGCTCCTGTCATGTCAGGTTAACAGCCATGGAATACCCATGTGATAATTATGTGGCTTAGCAGTAAATCTTGAGTGTAACTCACACACCCAAGGCCCTGAACCATAGTGGAATTTTAGTGCGTTTCAGATTTATAGCTGGTTTCTGAATATCCGATTGAGTTGCCTGAGCTTTTGGTTCTGCTCTAGCCTGCGTTTTGACAGATTTATTTCTTGTGACTGTCTCTCCTGGTGAGTAATCGCTGTGGGCATCAGAGAGAAAATTCTCATGTGCACATTTGCTTTCTTGTAAGGAAGGTATACTCCTAGAGGTTAAAATACATTGAAAATCAAACTAATTTTTTTTGGTGGGGAATATATATATATTTATA